TTTCTTGAGGGTGTACACAATGGTGAGATTCATTGTGGTATGTATGTTCATATAAGTATGTAGGAAAAGTTGTGTCACGTTCATTCCCCTGTCTTTCCAAATAACTTTTTATCTCTCACCACTCCACAGAAATGATACTAAGGCCAATTTTGACCTTTGTCTTTTCAAATCCAAATAGTAATTTGTTCTGATTTTCCTCAGCACTGGTGAATCACTTTTTTATTATTATTGTTTTTTAAATTATTTTTGTGTGTGTGAGAGAACATTTATATTTGCCATCTTGCTTGAGGAGTACCAATTATTCATTCAGTTGAAGTCCCCATATATCTCTTCCTAGTTGTGTCATCTCCCACGCCCCTATATGTAGTTGCAATGCTGAATTGATATTATTGTTCCCATAGTTTAATTTTTTTGTACATTAGCTACAAAATGTGTTTGACTATTTAATGTGTAGTGTTATTTTTCATGTTTTAAAATCCCATTTTAAATTATTTGTACATCTTTTTCTGTAACTTGCTCTTTTTAGTAATCATTTTGTTATGACAGTCATTTATGTTGCCATGCATGCTCCTTGTGTGCCACTATACTGATCCATTTCACAAATAGACTATAATTTAGCCATTATCCTGTGCATGACCATTTAAATTATTTCTGTTGTTACAATCARTTCTAGACACATTCTCATAGTTGTCTCCTTGTGCATGTTTCTTTTTGGCAATGCCTACAAGTAAGTTCCTCCTTGGTTATAATKTATCAAACTAGATAGTTTTCTTCCCAAACAGCCTGTTCTAGGCTTCCATAATGCCCTCTTGCCTGATGTTCATCTTTAGTTGTAAGCTGGCCATTCTCAGTTTCATTTTTTTGGATGCTCATTCTTTCTCATACTCTACATGGTAGAGTTTTGTCCTTTGTACTCTTTATCTCAAAATTGACCTTTAATCTCTATGTGTAGGTGATTTTTTCTTCCATTTACATGATTTTAAATAATATGTGTATCAGTAGCTTCTCCAGTTCTATCCCTAGCATGACCTCACTCCTGAACACTAGGTTGGGCTCTTTGGACAATGAGAATCATCTCTGACTTAACTTGGCCCAATGGACATCTGAACACCCAGATCTTCTCCACACAACTGGAGGTTTCTCATTCTTTAGCTTTTTGCTCATGTGTCTCTACAGAAAAGCCAAATATCTTTCAACCCTACCCTCCTCTGCTGTTTTTCTGTAACATCATCCTGTTTTATTTTCTGCAGAGCCATTGTCAGTCAYATCATCTTTTGTTTATGTATATATAATCTGTTTTCATTCTTGGGAAAAGTTTCCTGAGGGCAGGGACTTTGTGTTTACCATTTTATGTCCATTTCTTAGGACAGTGACCAGCACATAGGGAGAAATCAGTAACTATTTAACTCTATTGTCCTTCTCCAAATCTGTGGAATCAAATTCCTACCAGTTTTAGAAGATTCTGCAAACTGCTTTAGCCTTCACTTCCTCGGTGCTAACCAACCTTGTGCACAACATCCAGATATCCTGTGATGGATGTTTTAGTTTCAGTGTGTTGACCCAGACTATCTTCTTTTCAATACTACTTTGTCTTAGTCCATTTTTCTAGTGTAATAACAAAATACTTGAGGCTGGGTAATTTATAAAAGAAAGAGGTGCTAGCATCTGTTCAGCTTCTGGTGAGGGCTTATTGTGCTGCATCATAGCATGGAGGAAAGTGGAAAGGGGAAGCCAGTAAYAAGAGCACATGAGTGAGAGACTGATGGGAGGTGCCAGGCTTGCTTTAGTACAGCTGCACTGGAGGTAACTAAACTCCATACCTCATTAAAAAATATTTATTAGATTTTTACCTTCTTCACAGATGTCAGATCTTTCTCTCTCATCCAGCCATTATTTTCCTACACACCCTCATTTTGCTTCATCTTYTCATTTCACTTTCAAAAACATTTGCCTGTTTCCTCTCCGTCTAGGTAATCTATTTTGGTTCTATGTCTTTAAATATCATGTACGTGCTAATAATGCCTTTTCAGTCTAACCTCACTCCCAAGTTCCAGTTTGGTTCTAGGCTTCCATGATAATACATTGTCTGTTTTGCCTTACTTGATGGGCCAGGCATTATCAATCTCATTTTCTGGACATTTGTTTTCTGTCACACTTAATTGTAGTATCCAGGGCTTAGTCATTGACTTTCTCTGTCTTCCCAGCTTCCAGCTTTGGTCTGCTCTGATTTATCCCCCTGATCTCAGGATGGTGTTTATCAAATGCAATCCAGTCCTGGTACTGCTTTGCCTACAGTCTCTCAGAAGTCCCCTGCTGCCTCAAAAGTTCAAATTCTGTATTAGGAACAGAACCACTGAGGATGCTTCCTATCTCAACCCCTACCCCCTCTCCTAAGAATCCTGAAGATCCTCTCTCCTGAGACTTCTCAGTACAGCATTCATGACCCTTCCTCAGATCACAATTTTCTTTCCCCTTCAACTCTTTTACTGCCGAGTAAATTTTTACTCATTTTAAAAGACAACTCAATGTCCCCCTTTCAGGGAAGCCTCTGACAAATTTCTGGTAGAAGTAAGAAATTCCTTCTCTGTTTTCCTACTAGTTTTTTTTTTTTAAATGATCTCTATTATGATATTTGATTCATTGATATAGCTAATATGTATTGATTGCTTGCTGTATGTTAGAAAGTGTTCTATGCATCAGAGAAAGAAGAATAAACAAGATAGACAAGGTCCTTATTTTCAAGGAGTCTACATTTTAGACGGGAGGAAAGATCAAAAATAAGTAAACAAACCATATTTTAAATAGTGTTAAGTGGTGTTAGAACAGAATAAAATCAGATAATGTGGTAATCTGATGGGGATGGGGATTGTGTGTGTGTGCGCGTGTGTGTGTGTGTGTCAGAGAGAGACACACAAACACACACACACACACACACTTACACATACAAGGGAGGAATGGATGTGACACTTGAGAGTCAGTGAGATATGCTGTTTGAGTTGAGACTTCAAAGATGAAAAGGAGCCAGCCATACGGAGATCTGAAAGAGCTATATTCTATGGAACAACAAGTTCAAAGGCCCCAGAACTAAAATGGGGTTGGCATCTCTGAGGACCAGAAAGTAGGCAGTAGCATAATTAGCAGGGAAAGGGGTACTGTATGGCATAAAATCTGAGAGATGGACAGGACCAGGATAGGTAGGGCCTTATAAGCAAGGCTTGTCAATTTTAAGAGTAGTAGTGAGAAGCCATTGAAAGATTTTGAGTGAGCAATGTGACCTGATTTCTGTCTAGACTTATCACTGTAGTTTATAATGAGGGTTATAAGGAGTCAGGATTGATAACAGACTAGATAGGAGTTGTTGCTACTGCAAGTGAAGAGCATTGGTAGCTTGTATTATAGGGGTATACTTAATGTCTGTGGGGAGAAGTGGAATAATTTGGGATATTTTTTGATGATAGGCTGACAAGACTTGCTGATAGATTGAATGTGTTGGTTTTATGGAAGGATGGATCTAAGAAAAGAAGTCCTTGGCTTTTTTTGAGTAACTGGGTGGATGGCAGTACCTTTATTGATATGTGGATGAGTGATGGCAGTGGTGGTAATGAGAAAGTTCTGTGGGGAAGGAATACAAAGTTTCATTAAAATGGATATGCCTCCTAAGATTTCAAAGTGTGAAAGGCAATAATGCAATTGAGATATGGTTCTGAAGTTCAGGGATAGAGCTGGATAATTTAAGAAGTTATTGACTTATTCATTACCTTTTAAAGGTGTGGGGCTGGGTAAAATAACCTAGAATTGGAATACAGATGGAGAGAGAAGGTGGCCAGGTGTAGGACTTTCAGTGCTGTAGAGTTGAAGGTCTGGTAGAAGACAAGAGATGGAGAGATAAGGAGGAGCCACAGAAGACAGAGGACAATGAGAAGGTTATTTCAAGGAGWGAGGATCAACTGTGTCATGCTGCTTAGAGTTCAAGATGGAAGCATAGGTGGGACCATTAGATTTGACTCTCTGGATGTCACTGTGGTGGGAGCACAGCTAGGGCATTTGGGCATAAGATGAAACCTAGATCATTAATTCATTGCTATGTGTCTGTTTCTTCTAGTCCTGTTTATTCCTAGGGTTTAGCCTATAGTAAATGGTAAATTGATGTTTGCCTGGAGGTTTGAACTTTACAGTCTGGTTTAATAAATAATATGCTGGTTTACTCTCATTTAGAGTGCTTTTGGACCATTGACCTTTTCCAGTGTTTTCATTAGTTCAAGGGATAGAATCATGTAAATAATTACTTAAGCAAAACATAATGAGAAAAGTAAATCCATTTTAAGAGGTTCAGAGTGCCTCYTAGAGCCATCATGCTGTAGTGAAAAAGAGCCACGCTTTGGATTCAGAGATCTGCTTCAAGCTTTAGCTCCCTGCTGTATCTTCCTGAAGGGGTCTGTGGGCAAGCCCCCCAATTCCTGTAGATAGAAGTTCCTCAGCTGTCATATATAGATAATATCAACAAATTCCTCTATAGGATTTTTTTTGTGAGCAGCAAATGAGCTCATGCATATGAAAGTCCCTTGTAAGTAAAAAAGATAATCTGTAAGTACTATTTTTTGGTAAAAAGAATTAGAATGTCTATTTTCATTACTCACTTCTAAAGTAGATCAGATCAGTGTATCATAAAGTTCATATTTAAGCAGTGGCACATGAATGGCAACAAGTTGAAGGAGGACATAGATCACTGGCCAATGTTGACACTTTTTTGGAAACATGTAGGAAATCAATTTTTTTTGGCTTTGTTCTCTTACTTTACCCAGATAAATTCTTTTAGAGCCTATTATACTTCAAGATCTAGCAAGCAATTCTAGCTAGTAGTCTGACTACCCCAGTGCTGTTATGTATGAAGAAATAATATGTAGTTACCATTGCTTGTATTTTTTTTTCTTGAAGTGAATACAATAACTAAATTTATATTTTTTCCTCATGGTGACTACTCATTTTATTTTTACTTCTAGGGTAAAAATCATGGTAAGAAACTCCGAAATTACTATGCAGCCAATAGCTGTCCTCCTCCTGCCAGAATGAGCAATGTGGTGGAGCCTGTAGCTACCCCAGTTGTTCCAGTCCCTCCACAGGTGAGACACATGAGTCAGGGTGAAGTGGCATGAGGAAGCTGTTGTATGGTCATGAATGGTCATGAATGAAGTTTGTTGTCCATTTGTCTACCAGGATAGAAATATTCCTGAAATAATGTCCTACTTGGTATTTGTAACAACTTATCCCCCTCCTTCTCCTCCTCCTCCTCTTCTTCCTCCTTCTCCCCTCCGCCCCCAACACTTAACCACTGAGCCATATGCCCAACCCTATTTTTTTAAATATTTTTTAAATTGTTGGTGAACCTTTATTTTATTTATTAATTTATTTATATGTGGTGCTGAGACTCAAACCCAGTGCCTTACACATGCTAGGCAAGCCTCTACCACTGAGCCACAACCACAGCCCCAMAACCCGGTTTTTAGTTTTTTTATTTTGAGACAGGGTCTCACTAAGTTGCTTAGGGCCTTGCTAAGTCGCTGAGGCTGGCTTTGAACTTGCAATTCTCATGACTCATCCTCCTGAGCCACTGGGATTACAGGTGTGCACCATTGCACCTGGTGGTATTTGTAACTTCTTGAACTATGTGCTGGTTTTAATGAACACCAGATGTGAACTTGGAGGTTTCTCATTGGCTTTGGTTGTGATGCATGAGATGATGAAACAGATATTGTTTCATGAGTATTTTTCTATCTATTTCTCAAAATTATGGGTTAAATGATTCTGTATGTCAACACTATGTCCTGTATGAAAAGAGAAACAATTGATTTCTGTATTGTAGTTAATTCCATTTATGTTATATTGTCTTCCAGTTGCCCTTGTTATATTTTGTCTTCAGGTTGCCCTTTACTTCCTTGTGTGTAGAAATCATGTAGAAATACTTTCTGGACTTTGGTATTATGAGACACAGTTGAGAGGCCAGCTCCTTTTGCTCTTTGGAAGACAGAGAGGGTGATTCAGGAAAGATATTACTGCATGTTGTAGTCTCTGAAATAYGGACACTACTCCATAACCTATCTTTAAATATTATTTCCCACAGAACAATATAGTGGTTATAAATAATTACTGTAATTGAGTACTTCCTATGCCAGGCACTCTGCTAAGCACTTTTCATGCATTGTTTTGTTCAGGGCTGGAACTAGGATGAGGTAAGGGTTGTCCTTGACTTGGGTACAAAATTTAAATGGAAGAAAAAACCTTCAGTACTCAAGATGAATATTTGAAATTAGGGTTTTTTAAAAATGCAAAATGTGAAAAAGCTAATGGTGAACAAAACATTAAAAACATACTGATTTTCCTTTGGCTTTAGATTCCATGGCTTTGCATGGCATTGCTACTAATCCTGTCTTTCTTTAAAAATTTTGATATTTTGCTGTGAATTTATTTTTTACATTAGATTTGATTTTTAAAAATAGTCCATTATAATATAGCTGGGCACTGTGGCACGCACCTGTAATCCCAGTACTTGGGATGCTAAGGCAGGAGGATCGCAAGTTCAAAGCCAACCTGGGCAACTTAGTGAGACCCTGTCTCAAAATAAAAAAAAACAGAGGACTAGTGTATAGCTCAATATTAGAGCATCCCTGGGCTCAATCCCCAGTATCTTAACAAAAAATCCATTAAATTGAGATTTTGCTGTGCTCAAGGCAAGCATCTCACTTGCCTCACTCTAGTTCCAACCCCTTACCTCATTTAATATCTGTAACAACTTAGGGACATCAGCCTCATTCAAAGTGTGGTCCGTGGGCCTGCAGTGTGAGTTCCACTGTAAGTTTATTAGAAGCTCAGGAAAGCTAAGTAACTTTCCATGGTTTTGTATCGCTTTGTAAAATAGTGGAACAAGAATTCCTTTTGATCCTTGGACCTCTCTGTTCCTAACCACCATGGTATAATTTTACTTTGCTAGCATCAGTGTTTTAGTGCTTAAAATGTGGATAGCAATTCCATCTGTTCCTCCTCCTCATAGATTTGTGGGGAAATGAGATATATTAAAAATGGAATCAGAGAACAGGAAAACGGGGATCTTCAAGCTGAGTACTTGTCAAACTGCTGGCTACTGAAGGCTGCTTTAGAATTGGATGGCTGCTSCCTGTTGGGGATTGCTTTCCTCTGGCTTATCCCTTCAGGGAAATGATCTAAGCAGTCTTTCATWGCAGAGCCCTTTGTGATTTTTGAGGACGGCTATCCTATCCTGAGAGAATCTTCTCTTCTAGGTGAAACGGAGCTGTTTCCTTCAACTGTTCCTATTATGATATAGCTTCTAAGATCTTTATTATATATATTATTCTCCTATAGCCAAAATCTAGTCTGTAACTTTTTGTTAATCCAACAAAAGTGAATGCCTGCCRTCTTCCAGGTGCTGTTAGGTTTTCTTTAACATGTTGTTCTCCAATCTGAATATAGTTGTCTGGATCTGATAGTTATTTTCCTTGATTATAACATATCTGTAGCTAGTTTGTAGACTTTATGGAAGACAAGGACTTTTATATGTCTGTATATCCCTTCTGGATTAGGAAGCAAACCCAATAAACCATTGACATTCAGGAAATGTTTATTGAAGGAGTCTAAGAAGACTTTACTCTTTCTGGAAATGAGGGTTTAGGTCTTACCTATTTATTTACCTAAATTTTCCATGCTGAAAAWTTTAAATTCATTAAAAAATTTCTTCAATGGAGAGAGCAATAAGCTATTTGATTTAATTCATATGTGATTATAGAGCAAAACCATGATTATGTCTCCCAGACTCTCTTTTTTGAATTAATTATTTCCTTTCCTTATAAAGCTGAGAGATTGTTTATGGTCATGCCATATCCTTTGGTTATTTTTCATTTCTTACAAAAACCTTTAGGAGAAGGAAGGAATAGGCTCCATATTTTTTAACCTTGTTTCTTCTTGTGTCTTTGATATCAGATGGGCTCCTTCAAGCCAGGAGGCAGAGTGATCCTGGCCACAGAGAATGATTACTGTAAGCTCTGTGATGCCTCCTTTAGTTCCCCGGCTGTGGCTCAGGCTCACTATCAAGGGAAGAATCATGCCAAGAGGCTGCGACTGGCGGAAGCTCAGAGTAACTCATTCTCGTAGGTATTGCCATTTTCTCCAAGGCCAAAGTGTTATGTGAGATGGACTGTCTTTAAAAAAAAAAAAAAAAAAAGAAGAAGTTGAAAGGGATCCTTGTTTAGAAGCCTCATCCTTTTTCAATTTCTTTTCTCCAGGGACTCCTCAGAGGTGGGTCAACGACGAGCTCGGAAAGAGGGGAATGAATTTAAGATGATGCCTAATAGGAGAAATATGTATACAGTACAGAATAATTCAGGTATCCTGTATATTTCCACATACCTTGGAAATTTCCACATACACTTTACAAATGGTCTCTTTTCTTTTTATTTTCTTTCATAGTAATAGATAGCCCTGAGAATCAGGGTTAGTCATTGTTTTATTGAATTGGTGTATTGACTTTTTCAGGCTGGTGTTTATTTCAAGTCTTATTTATTTATTTCCTACTTAGTTATGATTTATTTTGATTTTTAAACRTAGTCTATGTTTTAGGGCCTTTCATCATAGTTCCTTTATGTTTCTTCTCATGTTTGCCAGCTGAAAAATAAAAGTGTGTCATAAAAATGAGCAGTTTGCTTTCAAGTTGCACCATATTCAATTCCCATTTCTTGGAGAAAATAAAAAAAAAATAGCAATGGATTTTAACCAGGGCAGTGCATCAGAATTATTCAGGGAGTGTTTTCAAAATGCACCTGAATAATTTCTTAAAGATTTTCCATCAGTAAATTTGGAATAGGACCCAGACATATGTGTGCTTTGTAAATGCTTCCTTGGTGATTTTGATATCTACATTCAGTTCAGAACCACTTATTTATAGGAAAGTTTTCTGCTTTTCTTCCTTGGGGAGGGGAGGACTGAGTGGTCCCTTCATTCTTCTCCTTCAGTCTCCAGKGCTACGTGTGTCAGCAGAGAGCAGTTATGTGCATGGTGACACAAACCAAAAGCAAAATTAATTGAAAAGTAAGATACCTAGTAAAGAAAGGATGAATAGAAAGCACAATGTAGTAAGTATATAAGAGTCTCAAAGTATTAGGAATTATAAAAAAAATGTAAATTTACTAAAGTCTCAGTTAAAAGACAAAGATTATCAAACTGCATAAAAGAAACTCAATGAAATGAAGGATGCTGGGATAGATGTAGTGATATTAGGTAAAATAAACTTMAGGAAATGTAGTATAGACCATATTCTCTTACCAGAGTACAACTAAATGAGATGACAGTAACCAAAATATAAAAACGAACAAAATTTCCATTTGTTCCATTTGTTCAGGAATTTTAAAATATTTCTMAAGGATTCATGGTTCAAAGAAGAAATCATACTTAATTACAAATTCTTATAATCAAATAGTAATGAAAATACCATATCAAAACTTATAGACTTCAATCACAACTATATTTTGAGAAAAGTGTTAAATATTTATTATTATAATAGAAAAGAAAAGCAGGCTGGTGGTGGTACTCTCCTGTAATCCTCATGACTAAAGAGGCTGAGGCAGGAGGATCACTAGTTCAAAGCCAGCCTCAGCAATTTAGTGAGGCCCTGAGCAACTTAGCAAGATTGTATCTCTAAATAAAAAATAAAAAAGGGCTGGGAATGTGGGTCAGTGATCAAATGCCTCTGGGTTCAATCCAAAAAAAAAAAAATAGGAGGAAATTAGCAAACTTATAGTCCAGGTAAAGAAGTCAATAATGTAAAAAGAAGAAAAATATCAAAATACCAAAAATGTCATTCTAATCTTTTTTTTGTATATTATTTCTTTTTTTAAAAAATATTTATTTTTTAGTTGTACAAATACCTTTATTTATTTTTATGTGGTGCTGAGGATTGAACCCAGGGCCTCGCACGAGCTAGGCGAGCACTCTATTGCTGAACCACAACCCCAGCCCTACATAGTATTTCTTTAAAATAGAAATATGATCATATTTTATGATATTCTTGGTTTACTTAACAGCATATTGTGATTATATTTTCATGTAATTAATAGTTTCCTGTATCATTATATTTATCGAATATATAGTTTTCCTTTGCAGTCATTTCCATAATTTTTCAAATCCTATTTTTKAATTTCTCCTCCCCACAATTTTGCCTTTATAAAACACTGCTCATATCAATATCCTTGATGATAAATCACTGTGCAGAAACTCTTTTTTTTTTCTTTATTTTATTTCTTTATTTTTATGTGGTGCTAAGGATCGAACCCAGGGCCCCACACGCACTAGGCAAGCACTCTGTCCCTGAGCCACAATCCCAGCCCATTGTGTAGAAACTCTTAATACTTTCTTAGGATAATTCTCAGAAGTAGAATTAGATTAATGAGAGCAAGCAACACATTATTATAAGAATTTAGATATAATACTTGGAAATTAAAGTATTTTTAAAATTGTATTCACTTTTTAGAGGCATAACCATTTAGTTTGAGTTTGACTCCACAGTAACTTTTTTGACATTCTTGGGAGAATCGTTTTATCTTTGTAGAATGTATAAACTGGTAATTGAAAAAAATTAATTTCACCTTCCTTTAAAGTTAAGAATCTGTGAATTTTATAACTTGAATTTAGAGTTAAAAATTACAGTACGAATTGGTCAGAGTATCATTCACATAGTGACTATTTCAACTGCAATATYTTTATCTCTGGCTTTAGCAGGTCCTTACTTCAATCCCCGTTCTCGGCAGAGAATTCCACGTGATCTAGCCATGTGCGTTACTCCAAGTGGCCAGTTTTACTGCTCAATGTGTAATGTTGGGGCTGGCGAAGAGATGGAGTTCCGGCAGCACTTAGAGAGCAAGCAACACAAAAGCAAGGTGTCTGAGCAGCGGTACAGGAATGAGATGGAGAATCTGGGCTATGTATAGTGATGGCCACATTCAGATAGAGCAGCTTGTCCTGCCTGTTTGCCTTCTGTCAATTTGCCCTGCTTTGTGGTCCTTTTRATATGAGTACATTCCTCTGCTTAATGTTAATACATGTAGCCTGCAGTGGTACCACAAGATGTCAAAACTTGGGGGTGGGGGGAGGGAAACGTGCTTCTTCGGTCATAATACTTTCCCAGGTCAACTGTGTTGAGCTACTTGTAGCATGTGACCTACCTACCCCATCCGAAATAACTTTATCTTGGCCAAGTTCTGGTTGACTAGTAGCCTGATCACTTAAAGCTATGACTATTTAAAAACTTCAACTTCTTTTGTCATTTTAGTTTTATGTACTGTTAAATAAAGAGTTGTATTGAGTTCTTACTTCAGATCACGGTTAAAACAGGTAAGCAGAGTTCTGTTTCCCAAGGCTTCGCTGGAACCATTACCTCCATGCACTGTCAGTAGGATATGTCATTATAATGGCATTAGGGTCTTTCCCAGGACACTTTCCCTGTATCATGTCCCTCCACCACCAAAATGCAGATTTTCTTGAATTCAGACACTTGCAGTGTGCTTTTTGTCTTCCAAGTGGCTAAACTTCATTTCCAATTATGGATTTCACACATTTAATTGCCACCACCATTCTCTTCTTTTTTTCCCCTCCACTAGTGAATCAACTTGTCTAATAAGCTCATTTTCATGTCCTAGCTCTGCTGTGGTTTTTCTAAGCCCCAGATTTGAGTGTCTAATGAGTTTAAGATGGACATGACTTTTAAAATATTTTCAGCTGATTTTAGGAAACATAAAGATGGGTTTGATTTTTTTTTCAGTTTAGAGTTATGCTTTTATTCATGGTAATATGCCCTTGTGTGATGGTCTCAACCATAATTTCAGATCTCTTGATATATTGTTTTGGCAGGTTTTTTAGATGATCCAGTTCTTGTACTTTACATTCTTCTCTGTCTTGCCAGATGCTGTCCTGAAAAGTACCACTTCCTGCTGTTTCATAGATAGAGGAATTTTTTTTTTAAAAAGCTGACAAGTTTTAGTGTCATCATTTCCAGTAGAAAAATACATGGGCTTTTTTTCATCCTTTGTAATCTGGCATCTCTGAGAATATTCAAACTATATTATAGATGATTTTGGTATCTGATAATTATAATGGTATTACTATTATTTTGGGGTTTTGTTTTTAAAATATGAAGTCATAGAGTATGTCTAGATGAACTAATGAAGTATTATATAAAATTTCATTAATTTTGTATTTGATCTCTTTGACATGGATAAGACTGACACTCAGTCTTATTTCTTTTGAAAAGCCACATTCACCAAGAAGGTTGTTTTGAACCATGTTTTTGTACACTTGATTGCTTATGTTGCTAATTAAAACTCTTTGTGTAACCTTGAGAGTTCTATAGGCAAGTAGATGGAGAGCAGGAAAATTTCAATCACCATTCCTTTTTGGTAATTTTTCAGAACAATTTTTGAGCCATCCAGACCCATAGTTAAAAATTGGTTTTGTGATTAACTTCCGGAACAATATCAAGTTATTTTCTTCTACTGAAGTGATGGTTTACCAAAAAATAGAATTCTTTGGTAAATTTTTTTCCCAGAAATAGAAAAATAAAATAATGTTATGTTGAGATTCTATATGGACCTGTGACTTTTAGTATTATAACCTTTTTTCAGTAATTATAAAATTGATTAGTTTAAGAAGGTTAGGGATTATTTTACTGGCTAATAGGTTACTCATTTTGCTGCTAAGTTTCACTTTTTGGGTAGATATGAATATAGTGCTGCCACTTGATTCAATGAGTACTTAGAAATCTCACATTATCCCTCTGTATGTGTGCATTCCCATTCCCATACTCACGCCCATTCCCATACCCATAGCCATAGCCACGCAGGCACACACGCAAACACAGTTTTATATGATACCCTAGAGAGAATGTCATTGTATCTTTATATTTCAGATAACATTAAAAGATTGTGAATATGAATTTACATCTTGTAAAAGTGGCATTCATTTACTTTTAGTTTTTCCTCTGGAAATGAAATTAAAGGATGTGTTTTCCCTGCTCTCCTTACTTAACAATTTCATCATCTGTGTACAAAAAGCAGTGGACTTAAGGGCTTGATGTTTTTTCAGGCCTTGTGTATTCAGGTTTCCAGTTTCCCAATGCCCTTAATGGATGTTATGAATGCATAAGCGCATTTTCTTTAAAAGAAAGAAGTTAGATTTATAGTGTTATTTCTTACTTGCTATCTTTTTTTGCACTAAAAAAGAGCTATGTGTTTGTTTTATATGACACTTTAGTACCATATTGCCTACAGTAACTCAATTTGTTTCTTAATTTCTAAACTCTAGGAAGTTGATAACTTCAACAATCACTTATAGAGGTTACATGCACATCAAAAAGAAAAAAAAATCACAGATGTCTATGCTAGTAGTTGTGTTTTGTACTAGTTACCTTGCAGTATTCACCTGTGCTCCATAGGTGAGACAAGGGGCGACAGGGATTGTCATCACTGCATGGAACAGTTTCTCATATTCACACATTCTGTACAGTGTTTCTTCCCTGTGTAAGCGGGCCGCTGTTGCCTCTAAGTCAGTGATATGTGATCGCTGTTGGCATCCTTTTGTCAAGTCCAGTCCTGCTCTGTAACGTGCTTTAGGATCTTCACTCTGTGCTCCCCAAGGAATCATGTGTCTTATATGCCAAATACAAGGACAGATAGAGGTCTAACCAGAAAAGGACCTTTAGTCAAAAAAAAAAAAAAATCAGTAGATTTCAGTAATCATTTGTTAAGAACTCTTAGTAACAAAGTCTCTTTTTTCTGTGACTCCTTGTGTATGTTGTCATTAAAAATCAATGTTTGAAAGGAATGCTTCTAAGATATCAAGAGTGAGAGATTTTAAAGGAAAAGTTCCATATATCAATTAGAAGATTAGCCTGCATACGCCTTCAAAGTATTTTTTTGTTTTGTTTTAAAGTTCACTTGTGAAGCTGATGGTTGTCTTATAATCCTTTGACTCCACACTGAGTAGGAAACACTTTGTTGGTCTTGACTTTTGTATGTCATGTTCTGCAACTTGTAAATATGTGCATGTTGTTCATTATATTTGTCTGCTTGTTTCTTATTGCACTGAATTCTGCAAGATGAATACTTTATTTTTTTTAATAACATTTGTTTTGAAAAGTCTCCCCCCCCAACTCTTTCTCACTATTTTCCCCTTTAATTAATTGCAAAACCTAGAAAACCATTTAGGATTTTTTTTAGACCCTGAGGTTCAATGAAGACTCTTGGTGATTCAAGATTATCCCCGTATCCCTTTGACTCAAAAGGTGAATGTAAAGTGTGAGACCTCCCACGTCTTTACAGAGCTATTCTGCAGAACCTTATGCTTGCTTATAGCTACCTGTCTACAGTTTGGACATGGATAAAGTGAGAAATACATCTTCATACACACAAATATGTGTGTATGTATCTGGTAAAATCTTCCTCTGTAGATAGATTCTAAAGCTTAGTAGTGGGATTGTGATTCCTTCACTCTGAAGTTGTCTGAGAATGTGAGCAATGACAGTTTGAGGACTGTTCATTGACCTATGTAAAATGAGTCTTACTTGTGTCAGGGGAGACCTATAACTGTTTGATGTAATATTCTCTGTAGAGAGGCCTAAAAATGGTGGATTTGGAACCTAACCTACTTTGTTTTGTGTCAGAGCTTAGATTGGAAATACTAGCTAAAGAACTTGGTGAGGCATGTACTAAGGACAACAGAGCTGCTTTAGGAATGTTATGTCTGCATAGACAAAACTTTAATGTAGATTTTTGAACAAGTGTTTAAAAAGATTGATGTTATCAACTATTTTTTCCCTTATCAAATCACTACTTAGGAGTTTCATATGTAATAAAATAATGTTTTGCTGTTTTTGTGTTGTTGGTGGGGGAACCCCTAACATTGTGAGCTTTTTCTGTCCATGTAACTGAATRGATAAATTGCTGTATAAATAGCTTCTCATAAGACATTTCTACTGATAGCTGTTTGATGTTTTCTTCCCATTGTGAATGGGGAGATAATTTATAAACTCCCTTTCTGGGTAGCTACCAAAAAAGTACTGGCTTATGGTCCCATGTGACCCTGTGTCCGTTAAGCCCAGAATATGAGTGCCTTTAGTATGTATCAGCATTTCACAGAGAGAAGAGATGACAGAGTTATTGCCATTAATCACAGTTCATAAAACAGGAGCTTGGAATCGCAAAGGTCTGAGTGGATTCTRTTCCACATCTGGTTTTTTCTTTCTTAATGCAGTCTCAGTGTGATATCAAGTAAAACTGTTGTTATTGATCAGGAACCATACACTCTGAAGATGAATCCAGTTTCCCTGGCTGGCAGTATTCACCTTGATGTGTTATTACATGGTGGTGTAGTGGATTGGGAGAACTTGACATGATGTTTAGAAATATAATATTTTTTTGTGTGTGTGTGTGGTATCAGGGATTGTCCCCAGGTGCACTGTACCACTGAGCTACATCCCCAGCCCTTTTTATTTTCTACCCATCACTCCAGCTCTCAATCCCCTGGGGTATACATTTCRTTGTAAATTTCAGACTATAAACTCACGAGGTGTTATTAATATTTGTTTGAATATTAGTAGCATCTTGAAAGCTGTGTATAAAGTTGACACTCTGAGCCAGTCTCCACATCTTTGTTTCCTCCTGTGGCCTTGCCTCTTCCAATTTCTGTTCTGTGCATGCTTAGAGTGAAGAAAGACAACTCCCTTTGCAAACTCAAGTTTTCTGGAGTTGGCTATTTGAAATGCTTAATTGTCATAAATGTTAAAGTTTCACGATGAGAGTTTTTTTTTTTTTCTTTATCTCTCTTCTGATGATGTGTTCTTGCTGAACTATATATGCAGCTTCTTCAGAAAACTGTCAAGTACTGATTGGGGTGTTTGAAATAAGCTTTTACCTCATTTCAATTGGTTGCTGCTTATTTTCCTGATACTTCTTCTTTCCCTGCTTTCTGCTGCTCTCCAAGAAGGTTGAGGGGAGTAAAGGGTCAAGCCCACCCATGATTAGCTGTTTCAGACAATTTTAGAACAGATTGGGTAGGTTAGAAAGTTGCAGCTATTAATTTATGTAAAGAATTTGATTTGAGTTCCCTGAGTATTGTAATTACTCATGCTTCAAGTTGTAATTAGCAGAATTAAAAATGATTGTACTGTACAATGAGTTGTTGAAATTGTGAGCCTTAGTWACTATCTTTAGCTTTACTCCAGTAATGTTAAGAAAATCTTTTTGACATAGGCCTTTATTTTTAGGCCCACTTTTTTTGGACAGATTGCAGGATTTAAGTGACTTGCTTCAGGTCATAATGTTTCAATGGATAAAACTGTATCAGAATTAAAACTTAAGTGTTTCTGATTTATATTCTTATGCTTGTTTGATAAGATTCATGGCTTCTAAAACAACTGAACACTTCCTTTGGGTCCTTTAAAGGAAGGTACATATTTTTACTAATTAGGCTTTATTTTTAGACATTTCACAATTCTTTGAACTTAAAGATATTCTCATGGTCATAGTTATTAAATAAGCCAAATGCAGTTGCTAAAATCTCATTGTACTGTTGAATACAAACTAATAATGCAGGGTTTATCAGATTTCTTTTGCCTTTAAATGGAATTCATAATTCACTCATAACTTTCTATGTGAGTGCTTACGTGACCCCCTCACTAGTGAAAATAAATGTTCTATATCACGATTATATGTATATTCTCTACATTATTTTTTTTTAAAGGAAAAGTAACTCCCTGTGCCAAGATGAGTGATATTATTGTAGAGCAAAGCACATATAAAGTAGTTTATTTACTCCGTAAATCTGGCATTTATGGGAACAAAACTCTTTTTGGAGTGGCTGGTCATTTTTTGCCTTCTTTCTGTACCTGAGTACCTTCCTGTGGTTTTGTAAACCACAGTATCTTCTTCTTCTTTTTTTTGGGTAAGGATCTCATGTTGTTTCCGCCTATGTGGTGTTCACCTGGAACCCTCTACTGACCATGGTGATTTGGTCTGTGCGGTGTGTCTGCTTTGAAATGCCTTATGAATTTGTTAGGCTCTGCTTCCAAGCATTCCATGTACCTGCCAGGGCAGGAAGTGTCCTCTCTCGATGTATGCTCTAGATCCAGAAGCAAAACTGATTTTGCTTTCACTGTTAAGGTTGCACTTAAACACAGTTGTTGTCTTAAATTAGAGAATAAAATCATTGAAAACCAAGGGAGACTTTAGAACCCTTCACTTAATGGCATGACAAATATTTAAACTGCTTTTGCTATTTTCTGGTAAAGGATATAACTAAACAATGCCAGCTCAAACTGTATGAAATTTGGTTGTTTGATAACATTTTCTCTAAATGTCACACAGGGGCTTAAGATCTGGGTATGCTATTGGGGCAATGTGCCAGTCACCGCTTTGGAAATCTGTTTTTGTTCTGGGGCTACAGAAATGACAAACATGTCATGGGATTAAAACCAATCAACTGTGAATTGTGAAATTGAAATTGCTTTTTTGGTTTTGTTTTCTTCAGCATATTGAATATAGAAATCTGAAAGTTATTTAAAATTTATACTGCTTATGTTGATGGCTCATTTTGGCTGTGTATCCTTATGTACTGATTTCTGATAAAGGCTTGATGTTATAACAGGCATTTTGTGTTCAATTTAATAAAACAGTTTGAGTCTTGTCTGAAAATTATTTGGTTATGAGTTGGAGATCAATGGAAAGAGGTAAATCATCAGTCCTGAGGTTCATTTTGATCCTGATTGATGACAACTCTGGGTACCCCGTATTGTCAGTCTTCATTCAATCTACAATGAACCCCCTAAACTCATGAAGGGCATCGTAAACTCTGGGTCTTGCAGCAGAATTGACCAGGCTACCCATTCTGCCTTTTTCCCCATCATGGGAGCCAGCCTGGGACTGAATGTGTTCCCATTTGTATTGATCTGTTTCAATATTTATCTTCCCTTCAAATCCTGACAAAAGCTGACCTGAGGATCACAACCATTATTCTGGAAATAAACACATTCAAGAAAGCATGTACTCATTGATCTTCTGGGCATTTCACATGTAAAATGGTCTTATAATCAGCTTATTTGTAAAATATATTATTGAGAAGTAGTTCTTTGAGCACTCTGGTTTACTATATGCAGTGTGCTTTTGAATTTAAATGCTCATTTAGGAAGATTATAGACTGCAAGATGGCTGGTAGGTGGTGTAATTGGGATGCTAGACACATACACTTATTGTCGTGGGAAAAATTCTCATGTCTGTACACAAGAAATATTTCTGAAAGAAGTGAATAGATCACATTGAACGTATCTGTGGTAAAATACTCAAGATAGCACATTGTATAAAATCATTTCCAAGAGATTTTTTTTAGCTTAAAATAAAACCTCATGGGCATTAAAATAATGGACATTTTAAAAAGACTCTTAAACCACTAGAGATTTTCAGCGTTCCTTTCTTGATTTCTGAGACTTATTCACTGGCTGAAAATCTATTCAAGATCAAGTGCGTGTGTGGGGTCTTATATCTAAAATTGCATGTATATAAAAGACTAGAAATGAACTTTTTCAGTATTTTATAAATTGATATGAGGTTGTCAGGATCTCAGAAATAGATATTTCTGTGATGAGTTTTAAGACTTAACATTTGAATTAAGACTTTACCCACCAAGTTTTATTCCCATTTGTGGGATATTCATAAACTCTTGAGAACTGGGACCTTGCAAAAAAAAGATGAAGACAGTTTATTATTGTGAAATGTAAATATTATTGAATAAGAATGCAACTTATAAGCTCTTACCCCAAAAGTCCCAAATACATTTCATGATGTGTATATCTATCACATATATACACACAGACATAGACACAGCACAGATTGGGTGCATATTAAGGAGGAAGTCTTTGGAAATATGTTTAAGATGATCAAGTATCAGTAATGAAGTATGTCCAAGGGAACAGATATAAATCTGCTGCTGGAAGAAGTATACTTCACCATAGGCAGTCTATAGCTTATGCTTGGCCTTTTGGGTGAGTCTTTTAAGTATGTAATTACACTTCAAATGTGTTTTGGCTGGCAGCCGTCCCTCCAGACAGGAGCAAGATGTCTTTTATATTAGCTTCAATTTTTAATCTTTGCTTATGCCAGAGGCACTTCTTTAACCTTGATTTCTAGAAACCGCTTCCTAGGTTATGGACTTGGAACAAAGGTATGTAGTGCCATCTTGTGGAGTCTCCAAAACTTACAGTTAGCTGTTTGTGGTTGGTATACCAGGACCTTTGGTTAAAAGACATGGAGCGCAGGATGAAAGTTTTTAGTGGTAAATAAAGCAAAACTAATCATGCAATGAGATTTTGTTCATAAATAAAGCAAAAACAGACACGTTTACAAAAGAGAGGGCCATTTTTACAGCTTTGGCTGCTAAATTATGACAGAATGGAAAAATGGTGAATTGACAATCAGGATACTTATTTATGTGTATGTATATACATACTTATGCATATGGAAAGCATCACAAAAATAATGCTTTCAAAATATCTATTTCAAAAAGTTTATCAACACATTTTAACATTTGTGAACAACAAACAAGTAAGTTAAATTAAAATTATGGTTAATGAAAGCCCCAAACAGGAGGCAAAGAGTAGAAAATTCTTTCATCAAAAAGTACTGTTGAAAATTAAAACCAAATTATATACAGGGGCAAATGTTACCAAATACACAGAAATTGTGCTGACAAAATAAAAACTACAAAATATTAGGTTTACCCAAATATAACTTATTTTAGTGGAGAAAAATATTTTCTACTTCAATAAACTAACAATGTAAGAAACATTTTTATGTCTTTTGTTATGTGTTTCAAACATTTAGAAAAAGAACATCCTGTATAGCTGGTCCCAGTTCTGTCACCTGTGTACTTTTTGGCATGTCAGCCTCTCTCTATCCAATTCCCCAGAATTAGGATATCAGGTATGACCTGTGGTGATTTTCATTCTTTTCTCAGCTTTATGAATAATTTAGAGGATTGGTATTTTGAAAAAAAAAAGAATTGATATTTTGAATAGGAGAGTTCTGGACTACCCCTGAACCCCATGCTTCCCCTGCCCCCCTGACCCGAGTCAGTAACAGTGACCAGTTTCTTGGTTATTTTTTAGAGATGGTTTATGCAATATAAATGATGGTGTTTCATCCCCACTGTTTTACACCTTGGGTTTTTTGGTGACCAGTGTACTTTGGCAAGCTTTGCATACCAGCACACATAGGTCTAGCTTATTCTTTTTTTAAAATTATTTTTTTTAATTGTAGATGGACAMAACACCTTTATTATTTATTTAYTTACTTTTATATGGTGCTGAGGACTGAACCCAGTGCCTCACACATGTGAGGCAAGTGCTCTACCACTGAGCCACAATCCCAGCCCTAGTTTATTCTTTAAAATTTCTTTTCTTTTTTTTTTTTTCAGTGTTGGGRCCTTGAGAATGCCAGGCAAGTGCTCTACCACTGAGCWATAGCCTCTCCCTTATCTTATTMTTTTTGATCATGTGATTTTCCCTTGCATGATTTCTAAAGTATCATTTATTGGTCCTCTGCTTATGGACGTCTATACAGCACGGGTTTTTAAATTAAAAACTTAGAAACAAAATATTCATAASAACAAATTTACAATTTTAACTTCTTCTTGGGTGTACAGTTTAGTGGCATTCAGTACATTCACTTTGTTGTACAATCATGACACTCTTCATCTCCAGAACTCTTTTCATCTTCCCAAACTGAAACTTTGTACTCATTAAACAATAGTTTCCCATTCCCCTCTCCTCCAGTCCTTGGCAACCACATTCCTATTTTTTGTCTTTATGAATTTGACAAGTCTAGGAAAATTTTTTATTATTGTTTTTTGGAGTACTAGGGATTGAACTCAGGGGCACTCAACCACTGAGCCATATCCCCAGCCCTATTTTGTCTTTTATTTAGAAACAGTTGTTTAGCACTGAGTTGTTTAATGCCTCACTTTTGCCGAGGTTGGCTTTGAACGCCTGCCTCAGCCTCCTGAGCTGCTGGGATTATAAGGCATGTGCTACTTTGCCCAACCCAAGTCTAGAGAATTTTATAAGTGGAATCATACAGTATTTGTCTTCTTCTGTCTGTCTGATTTCATTTAGTATAAGGCTCTCAAGATGGACCAATGTTGTAGTATATACAGAGAGAATGAATAATATTTCTTTCTTCTTTTTTTAATGCTTTCTTTTATTTATTTATTTATTACATACATGACAATAGTGGAATGCATTACATTCATAATTATTTATTCACAGCACAATTTTTCATAACTCTGTATATAAAGTATGTTCATGCCAAATTATGCAAGTATCTACTGATGGGTGACTTGATAAACAAAT